TCTATTGGGCTCAGATTTTCATTCAGAATTAGCTTTGTTTACCTCATGAGTGGGCTATGGTACTGACATATCAAGAGCAAAGGGACAGTCTCTCCCAAGTTGAATCTGGAACTGTACATCTTTAGAGGCAGAATCTTGGCTTCAGTCTGGAAACTGTTTACAAATATGTAAGGCATTAAATCCTAAAGCCAAACCTTCAGGGCCCTTCTCTGAGGCTCAAGAGATGGATAATCTAGAATGTTATGCTGAATTCCCTTGACATTAAATTAGTTTATTTTAAAATGATTATGGAACATAACGCACAGTATTAGTTACTTCCCTTTCTCTCTCATCACCTTCCTTCTCCCCTCCCCTCCCCTCCCCTCCCTTTCCCTCTCTCTCTGACTCTCTGGCTCTGGCTCTCTCTCCTTGCCTCCTTTTGCTTTCCATCTCTCTTTCTTCCACACACATACCCCATCTTCATGAACACATACTGAACATAGTCTATAAAGCAACATGGTAGCAGAAAATAGAAATAACCGTTGGGTAACTTATCACATAAAACTGAAATCAAATATTAAGGGATTAATTTTACTCCTAGACTTTTACGGAAGCTCCACTTTAACAAGGAATGAAAGCATATAACAAGCTGCCAGAGTCTCCTTCCATCTCTTGACCTCCTCACTCCCGATGGGGAGACACCAACACCTAGTATATAGTAATTGTTTGAGCTGGATCCAAGTCTTATCCCAGTGATGTTCTCTTGAATTCTCCAGTATTGGAGATTTTCAGGCCCAACTTCTTGTCTAGATTCATTGGCCAGTTTCAGAGGTGAAGGAACAAAAGAGAGTGTAGTAAGTCTTTATATAGTTTTTATTTTTAATGACCATTTAGAGGGAAGAATGGTACTTTCTTTCCTCATTTCCAGATCATGAAACCCACAGCCTCTCTTACCCTCTTTCTAATCCTTGGAAAATCTCTTTGTCTCCTAAGGTCTGATTCTGATGATGACTTTTCTGTGCTCAGGAGTGTGAAAGAAAACTTCCTAAAATTCTCCTGAGGCTCCTCTGCTTCTGGGATGTAACCAGGTGGTTCTTAAACATACATTTGGGATATAGAGCGTTCTCAGTGCCTACTGTGTGCAATGACCTGAGAAGAAACAAATAAATACTTAAAAATCTTCTGCCTTCAGTTAATTCACAATATAGTGGTGAAACAGTAAACTGTAATGCATTGTCTATAACCTGGTGGTAAAACAGAATTATTATAAAAACACCTTTTATAGATGGAAGCAACATGTTCTGTTTCAGGTAGTCAGGTAAGTCTAAAATTAATCAACAGGAACATGATATAGATTTAAAGAAATGCATATAAGTTAGAAGGTTCTCTAAATCCTTCTAATGTTACATTTGACAAAATTAATGCTCAAGGATACTTTATTACCTATGATGACACAGCAAATGTCTGATGAGTGGTTTATTTTCCTATATGCTTCCTCAGTGGTTTACTTTCTTTGTGCATTAACACAAAGAAACCCTATGCAATGGTCTATTGTTTGGATTGTCCTCTACTCCCAGGAGTTCTAAGACAAGAAATAATTATTCATTCATTGATTACTTCATTTAATAAGTATACATTTACTGTCTATGGAGGACCTACTGTAAAAGGCACAGTAGTCACGTAGGATAGTACAAAATACACAGAAACGCTTATACAGCATGGAGGGTGAGTGTGCTTGATAGGAAGAAAAGTGAAAAGTGGGTGAAGGTGGGTGGGGGGTATGGAAAAATTTCCTTAGGTGATACTGGAAAGTTCATTGAGACCAGGGTCAAAAGATATGTGAGCAGGTGGAATGTGAGCACTGAACTTTACCTCAAAAGGGAGGGTAGGGTTAATTTTGAGGTCTTTTGGGGCTAATGAGAGAGGGAGGTTATGCCTTAGAACAGGAACGTCTGATGTAGTATAGCATTGCTGCCTACAGCATGCAAGCAAGAGAAGTAGGACAAAAGGAGACATAACAAGACTTTGAGCAACAATTATGTCTCTGATTAAGCACATTATTTTTTGAGTAATTACTGAAAATGGATCAGAGCATTAACCTGAAGTTTCTCTCTTAGGTTTGAGGTCTACCATAGAGCCCCTGTAATGCCGGTATCCACTCTATATTTCAAGCCTTCTTGACAGTTTTTACGCTCTAAGATAGAAGTTTCATCCATTACTGACTGTGTATGGCCCCCTTCCTTTTCTCATTTCCCTTGACCTCTTTGTATAAGACACAAAGACACCATATCTGCAGACCTTCAGGGACCTTCCCATATCCTTAGGGAAAGAAATGAGTAAAAGGAATCAGGAAATTGTGCTGAAAGTTCTTTATTAGGCAGAAGCCATACCCTTGAGGGTAGACATTATTTCCCCAAGTTCAGAAAATAGAATCTAGGGGAATATGGTCTTCCGATGGTCACCAAGAAATAGGCCAGGATCTCAATGGTACTTGTGGGCCAAGGCAGTAGCCACACCGGCCACCACCTTCTGATAGGCAGACTGAACCTCCGGGGTGAATTCCTTGCCAAAGTGGCGAGCCAGCACAACCACCAGCACGTTGCCTAGGAGCTGTGTGGGAGAGATAAAAAGCAAGAGCACGGTTAGTAGAGGGACCCAGCTTAGAGTATTTAAGTCTCATCCCAAACTGTGTCCCTAGGGTATATAAGCAGAAAGGTAGCTGAAGTGTAGGTGTTACTACTGATGTGAACCCATCCATATCAGCCTGAATTTATATTTAGAAAGGTTTCTCTCTTTCTGCCTTAATCCAGAACATGTTTTCATTTTTATTCTTTAGGACCATTTCAAGAAGCAATACAACATTTTATCCTCCTTCCTTCAAAAGGAAGAGATAAGAGGAAAATATTAGATAACATTTTTTAAGTGGATAAAAAAAAGAAAGTCTATTTTAAAAATTAGACACTCAAAATAAAGTGTGATTAAAAAAGGAGAAGGCATTGCAAGAGGACAAACAGAGGAGAACAAGAATGAATAAGAGGAGGTGATGGTTGTGAGCAAACAGGGTAAAATAAAGTACAATAAACAAAATGGTCCCGAGGAGTCCATAGTGCCGTATCCAGAATACCTCTCTTCCATTCTAAACTGCATCCTGCCATTGAGCCCTCTCCCCATGACACGAGCTTGACCACAAAAAGAAGAAGGAGAACATTGATGGTCCCATAGACTCACCCTGAAGTTCTCAGGATCCACGTGCAGCTTGTCACAGTGCAGCTCACTCAGCGCAGCAAACGTACCCTTGAGGTCATCGAGATGCTTCAGGCCCTCACCAAAGGAGGCTAGCACCTTCTTGCCATGTTTCTTCACGTTAGGGTTTTTCATAACAGCATCAGCAGTGGACAGGTCCCCAAAGGACTCAAAGAACCTCTGAGTCCAGGGGTAGACAACCAGCAGCCTAAGGGGTGAAAACAGCAAAAGGACAGAGGGAGTCAGCACCTGTCAGAATCTCAGGGGCTTTTTCTGTCCCCACGTGCCCAACTGCCATTCACTCTCCTTAAGCCTGCCTTGTAAGCTGGATACCTACCTGCCCAGGGCCTCACCACCAACTTCCTCCACGTTCACCTTGCCCCATAGGGCAGTGACGGCAGACTTCTCCTCACCAGTCAGATGCACCATGGTGTCTGTTCGTGTAGTTGCTAGTGAACACGGTTGTGTCAGAAGCAAGTGTAAGCAGCCGCTGGCTTCGCTCTTCCTTTTATGCCCAGCCCTGCCTCCTGCCCTCCCTGCTTCTGTGACCAGATTGGCCCAGCCTGGGGTGTGGTTCCACAGGGTGAGGCTTGAATGATGACAGCCATACGTCTCCTTGGCATTCCTGGCACTGACTCTAGGCCTTCAGCCCTCTCTGTGGGTATATCCAGGTCCCACTCATTCCAGCAATACAAATTGCTCGTAAAATCATCATCCTTGGCAAGTTTACTTGTACAATTTTTAGAATCACAATGTAGTAATCTCTTAGAGACTGCCTCTTCTATTTTCTTAGTATACAAATGAAGAATCTGAGGTCCAGAATGTGGAAGGGATTTGCCCACTGTGATTCAACTGAAGACTCTATGGATGGATCATATCCTGTGCCTTCAGAATATGCAAAATTATTACCAGGACAGCATGGCTAAAACCTCTGCCCTAGTTCTAAGGATGTATCTCTTTTCTTCTCTTGATTGGGATTAAATCCTTCTGGTAAGAAAACAAATATTCATTCATTCATTCATCTACTCATTCATTTTTTTCTTAATTTATGACCAAATAAATAATGATAGAAATATGAATCAAGAGGTCCTGTGAGATAGTTCGTCTATTAGAGTTTGGGATGAAACAGAGATCTCTCAGTATAGTAAGAAACACAAATAAGTAAAAAATTGATCACAACTCCAAGGTTTTAGTAACCCTGAGGGAAGCAATGTTTTCAAAGACTAAACAGAGGCATATAACTTGTTTCTTCCTGGACTGACCTGGGAAAGGATCTTGGAGAACAGAGAAGCTTCTCCATGATTTAAAAGGAGGGGTAACAATGTGGAAAGGCATTCTAACCTTGGCTCAGATTATTTCTTTTCCTCCCCTAGGCCACTAAGAATGCTGTGTTTATAACAATTTCTCTTATTTAAATTCATCACCCATCATTCTATTTTTCTATATATTTTTGTTTGTTTGCTCCTTCTTTTACTAAAATTCATTCCTCTATATGTACATCTTTTCCAATATGCCTTCTCCCTCTTTTTTCTCCATGTAATAAATCCTGTTAACTTCTTAGGCAGGAAAAACTTCTCTATAAGTATAGAGTTCTGCTTCTTACTATTAAAAAATTCAATGAAAAAAGCAAAAGGAGCAAGCATGTCTGAGCTCAGCAGAAGATCTCAAGTGCCCCTATTAGTTATTTTCCCTACTTTTCCTCATCTCTACCTTCTGCATCTTGCCCGCTCCCTGAATTCTAATTTCCTTTCAGTAAGGAAAGGGCCATACAATTTTTACTCACCATGTTTCTCCTACCTTAGAATCTCCTGATTCGGGCAGCTTGATGTCTAGAATCACCTTTCTCTCTCCTTTGTCATCATTGGCAACACATGTTTAACAAAAATCTCTCATCCTTTCAGCTCGAAGGCTCTGAAACTCCAACTAAAATAATTTTTAGGTGAACTAGAAGAAAAGGACGTCTCTATTTCTCATTGTTCCAAAGAAATACATACAATTCCCACTTTCATGTCTCCATTTTCCAAAATATTGTCTCCATCATTGCTAGATAACTAAAGATTCCTCAACCCTTTGACCTGTCCCAAGCCCCATCCAGCGCTTTGAACAAATTCACTCTGATTATTCTCAGACATGTAAGAAAATCTTGGTTCTTGCTTTGCTATCAGGAGGTTAGGGCAGGATTATATGCCCAAAAAAGATTATCAGGGTAAAAAAGATAGAATTTAAACATTTTCCATTTATATTCATTCTTTTCTAAAACCTTGAAGCAAAGAGGATCTTACTATTGTGCTATCCTTGGGAAAAAAATTTTACATGTTGACTTCTGGGGAAAGACATCTTTCAAATGTTTGAAATGTTAAAAACAAAAACAACCAAAAAAACCAACCCCACATTTGGTTTGACCTTTAGGTTTTGAGTTTCATTTTATTCAATTGAAACCTCTGTTAACTTTATCATTGTTTTACATTTGTACTCTTTTCAAGACCCTATTTCAGACTCCTGATATCAGAGGTCAGGCATATGTACATGAAAGGACCACTTCTGGGGAAGTTTGGACGTATCTTTTCAGGAAACCTGTGTCATGGAAAACTCATGGAACTTACTAAATAATAGTGTAGAATAGGTCTATATTTTCCTGTAAAGAGCCAAATTGTCAAGGCTACAATTTTGCCGTCTTGACTGACAGAAATAGCACCTACTTAAAGAATTCCCCTACCATTTCCTGTTTTCAGAGGTGGTTTCCCTAAATTCTTTTGATTTTAATTTTAATTTAATTCATTTTAATTGAAGTATAGTTGATCTACACTATAATATTAGTTTCAGGTGAACAGCATAGTGATTTATTTAGTACTTTTATAGATTATACTCCATTAAAAGCTATTACAAGATAATGGCTATAACTCCAGTGCTATACAATACATCCTTGTTGCTCATCTATTTTATACATGGTAGTTTGTACCTCTTAATTCCCTACCCCATCCTGACCCTCCCCTCTCATCTCTTCCCACTGCTAACCAATAGTTTGCTCTCTATATCTGTGAGTCTCTTTTTCTTTATTTATATTAATTTGTTTTGTTTTTCAGATTCCACATAAAAGTGACAACATACAGTATTTGTCTCTCTCCGTCTGACTTATTTAACCAAGCATAATACCCTCCAGATCAATCCATGTTGTTCTTATGGCTGGGTAATATTCTGCTGTATACATATACACCTAAATTCTTCAATTGTGACTTCTTTCTTTTTTTTTTTTTTTAACATCTTTATTGGAGTTGTGTCTTCTTTCTTATGCCTTCCTCTGCCATGGATGGCCTATGAGCCACTCTTTTGTATGGACAACTGTGGCAGCCACCACCATCCAAGCCTCAGGGCAAGAGTTGCTGCTTTGTTTCACTGTTGCTACTTGGTATGATTAAAGAGTGAAACAGGTTTCTCATTCTATTACCATAACCCTGCAGGGACAAGGCTTCAAGTTGTAATAAGGCATAAAAAGCTCAGACATACCAGGCAAATATAAGGAAGAGTGAATAGAGTGATAAATGGTGTATGTTCAGAGCCTCAAGCTCAAATCAAGGTCAGCACTCAAAGGTTCTGGAACACTTCTCAGGCCCACTGACGCCTTCATCATTGTGAGCTAATTTGTAGTCTGTGAAGGGATCACAGCATGTCTGCTCTACTTTGATTCCAGCTGCAGTGAGCACTAAACACACACATGCCTGGCCCCCCGCACACACACACATGCTACAAGTCCCTGAGAGAGAGGGGTTTTTTTCTTTTTCCTTTACTCTAGTCGGTCAAGTTTAACTAATTCCAAATGTTCTATACCAGATGGGCCTAGTCTGAATATAATTAAGAGGATGATTATTAACTTTCTTCAAGAGAATCATGACATTCATCCAGAGATGTGCGGTTTTATCATCTGTTTCAAAAATTACTTTTCAGTTAGAACTCTTTT